TTATGTTTTCAATAAGGAAATATTTATCGACGCAATAAACAAATAACATCTTTTTATTTTCCAGTTTTTGCAGTTTTTAGAATTAAAGCACAGTCACTAACAGCCAATCTTCAATTTGAAACAGTACCGTTCACGGTAGCTCAGTCGGTATAGAGCGCTCGCTTCGTGATCGGGAGGTCGTTGAGTTCGAATCTCGGCTGCGACTGACCTAAGTCGATAAAAAAATGGGTAGCAACTGATCCTTCGCCATGCGCTTGGCACTTTGAAGTGAAAGTTGTGGGTCCTTCGGATGAGACCTTAAAAACCTAGGCCCCGTGTCACGGCAGGCGTTATCACAATAAAGATCCCTCACTGCTCAATGGCCCTGAGTGCCGAGGAAAGGTCAAAAAAGCCCTTCACCGGTATATGGTGACGTCTCTATATGAGTGAAAAATACTCGAATGGGACGTAAAACATACAATCAATCAATCAATCAATCAATTTGAAACACTCGTAAACATGCACGGAATGAATTTATTATCAAAAATTATCACCAGAACATTTTAGCTGTCGGTGTTGCACATAAATGAGAGGAATTTCAGCGGCATTTTCAAGTATTCAAAATCATTAGAAATATATACATTTTCCAGCAAATGTATAGTTACATTTATAGTCTAAATTTGGTCGGAAAACTCGTCGACCATCCCTCCAATAAATTGCTATTTATATGCAAAACTACCTCTTATAGACTCTTATAAGGAGATGGAGAAAGAAAATATTTTTACAGTCATGTTTTTTTTTTCTTTTTAATAGGTTTGAGAAATACATTGCTGTTTGGAGTAAATATCTGCCATTTAATTTGTATATATTGTTTTTTTTAAAGAAGCGGAGAAATATTAAATCCACGAAGGGGCTAAATCGGCCCAGTCATCAAAATAGATGAAACATTCTCACATAAAACTGTAAGATTTGTGTGCTGTAAAACAATTTATTTTTTAACAATATCTTTTCCGGTTTTCTTTTTACATTCGTTTAAATTTGGTATTGTTTTCCTTATTAATACTATCAGGTCATTACGTTGACTTTACATACTTTAACGTCGTGGCGTTGACATTTTGTATAAGACAGTAATATATGTGCGTTAATGGAATAGAAATAACCAATATAGGCTCTTCTTTAAAATTTTGTAAAATTTTACTTTGACAAGAAGTTCTGAAAACTTTTGGTTTATTTTTAAATTAAAGCTATTTGTACTCTAAAGAAATGCCAAATATTTGTTATATACAACGGTTGTCTGGTATACTCGTTGATACATGTAACACGTTTTAAATGATAATAAGAGACACGTTAAGCTGAAAACAAACACAGTGTTAATCCATCATATTTGAGTAAAACTGAATTAATGTAGTAAAATATATATCATAGTAGCCATGGATAAGGATTTTATCATTCATAAATGTGTTATTGTATGGTCATACCGCGTACAAACAAAAAATAGACTTTTTTTTCCCCAGAAATACACGAGTACTCTTTAATAACGAAAACATAAAATTAAAATGAAAAGTTGCATTAAAAATGAATACGTTTGAAGTTACCATCTATTTTATTGTCATTTTGAGAATTTCGTTGCACTTCCGAAATTTATGGCATTTCCCGGACATTTGAAATGAAATTGTGGTTCATACATGTAATACACGTAAAATAGTGATGTTTGACGGTAATTCTGCGCACCACAGATTGACAGGAAAGAAGCCACTATAGACTTTTAAACATGAGTGATGCAAAACATCAAATCGGCCGCAAAAAAATTATTTTTCAACGAAAACACAAGATTTCCAAAGTATTTGAATTTCAAAACGGAACCTGAGGTTAAAAAAAAATCAAGATAAACGAAAATGGCACATATACCACTTTACTCAATGTAAATTACTTAATCGAAATAAAGTTCACCAATTATGATAAATATGTTATATCATCAAAGAGAAACATTTTTTATATACCCACAATAAATATGAAAAGAGATTTCAGATGATAAAAACGATCGAATAAATTATTGCTAAATAATGATCGTCTTGTTATCATATTATCATATCTTACACACTCCCATGTTGGGGAGTACCTATTATAAACCCTTTTAACAAAATCATAAAGTAATGATTATCTGGTGAGAAGTGAAAATTTCATTGAAACATAACAACATCTATAGGACTTTCATATAGTTCAAAACCAGTTTTAACATTTTACTCATAATTTTCATACATTTGAAATAACGTTCCGTTTCTCCATGTACAATTTCTAACACAACTACAAATAGATAGGCGATAATGAGTACAGAAGACGCTAAAATAATCATAATATCGTATACATATTGCATATGAGATTTTTAACTTGGACGTTTTCGGATCATTACTATTTGTAATTAAACAAAAATATACGAAAAACAGCTACTGGCAGTAGTAAATGGCTATCATTACAGACCGTCGAAAAAAAAATTATAGACCACACGTCGAACGACATATTACCACCCCCCCCCCCCCCCCCCCACCCCCAAATACCATGTTCAAATGCCTGATCTATGAAGTTATATTCTATATAGACATCCTTTCAAAAAAAAAAACCAAATATGATAGACAGACAAAATTATAGCAGTTATATCCGTTAATAATAATAATAATACATTCAGGATACATGGTCGTAGGAACTGGGGGGGGGTTGGGGGTTGGCCATGCCCCCCCCCCCCCCCAAATAATTTTGCCGATATATAGAATACTATATAAAACAAAGCTATTATATGCTTGTGTCCCGTCAATAAAAACGTCTGATCCCCCCCCCCTTTTTTTTGCTTGTCAAGAAATTTGGTAGTTGATAGTGTCCCCAACGGAAAATGTATGGCTATGCCTCCCCCTCCCCCCAACTGAAATTGCTACCTGCGGTCCTGGGATCTATAATAAATTTATGCAATGACCGAGTCACGAAAAATCAATCGTTTTTTAAATAAATTTTTATCAAGGAGATTGAAAAAAAAATGAAAACTGCTATTGAATTTATTTTTTATACTATATTTACAAGGACTAATATAATTGGCATTGTTATTTATTCACTTTACTACTTTCTTATTTAAATGGCAGCAGTAATTGGTCGAACTGTCCTACGTATTTAATGAGTGAGGGTGGGAATCCCGAAACCCCCCTCCCCCAATAACCCCTGTCCTTTTTTTTTCTTTTTTCTTTTTTTTTTTCTTTTTTGTAAATGTAATAGTTTTTTTTTTGTATTTTGTTTTTTTTTACTTCTTATTTTATATCAGTGCTAGAATCCCCCCTTTATGAATTTACACTACTACATGTATAAACATTCTTGCTAATCTTGGTTGCCCTCTCTTCCTTGGGCCTGTTACATTTAAGCGGAGTAACTCAAAATAGAAAGAGATCACAAGTAGCCTCCCATTTTTTTTTCATGTGTTGGCTAGGTCACAGCATGCATGCGATACTGAAATTACTTAAAACCTTAAACAGAAGTCACTGCCTTGGTAGTAAGTTATTCGTTTATACAATATAGGACATTTTTCTTATAGAGGCCTATCACAAAAATTACATGCGATATGTAAAATCAATCTATTGTTTATTTGATTTGTCAACTCGAATTTTCTAGGTTCAGTACTTCGTAACATAATTTATGTTAAGAGGTCTCGGATCAGTAAAGGTTTTACACTAATAAATATTAATTAATCTTTTGTCTCAAAATGCCACTGGCGATTTCTGAAACACATGTTGGGTATCATGGGTATGGGTTATAATTATAATACATGTAGTTATAATAGACTCTATTGCGTAACATTAACCATTTGTATGCTGTCGATGCAGACTTCACGACATTTATGTTTTGTAAGGTGGCAAAACAATCATTATAAATACGTCTTGGTAGTTGCATCCGATGTAATTTGTTAAATATTCTAGGCTATTCCGACACAGCCACTCAGGAGAAAATAAAGATGTAGCCTACATGTTTCTCGGGTGATCTCCCTTTGATTACATAGTGACCATGGGTGACGAGGAGCCGGGAGTTGGAAAACAAATTCAAAGCGTAAATAAATAGGTTGTCAGAGGAAAAGAGAACACATTATTTTTTTTTAAACATTTCAGCATAATGATGAGTTAAATATAGATCAGCTTCTTGAAGGAAAAGTCTTGGGTCAGGACTGAGGCACGTATTACACAAAATGTCGACATTACTATTGCATCTACATGCAGTCATGCTTAGCGAGAGTTTTTCGTACTTTTTTGCACCACAACACAAAATAACTTATAATAAATATAACAATCGCATTTCGAAACTTTTTACTATTTACAAAAACAATATAGAATATTTTTCTTTTCTATTAATGTAGGGTAATCCCTGCTAATTTCACTGTGTGAGTCGGTGCTAAGATATTTGAATTGAACGAAAATTATTAATTTCGATGTGGCCACACCCCTCGAACAAAATACTTTATTTATTCATATTTTAATCCTCTTTTCAATGGTATAAAGTTTATTTTGTTCGAAGATTGTGGCCACAGCAAAAATTTGAACCAAAGACGAAAAAAATGCTTTATTTTGATAAAAACTAGCAAAGTGCACGTGTTTCGACGTTTTCTGTACAAATATGACGTCATCGAATAAAAAAAATTGGCATAAACTATTTAAGTTTGATACCCAAGGATAATATTTCTATTGTTAATTTTCTTCTTCCCCTCAGTTTAATTTTCCTGAAAAAATAGGCCGATTTAGCCCCTTCGTGGATTTAGCTCTTTTCATGACTCACATGTTTGATTATGTATCAAACAACTGTGCTCGCCCTAACGCAGCCGCACTGTCGAGATATTGCTTAAATTCCAATACAACAGGCATTTTAAATTCAAAATAATTTTGAAGAATTTCAAATTGCAATATGCTTAGCGCTTCCCAGTACTTTCAGTACTTTGATTAAGTTTGGTTCAATTTAGAGACTCTTTAATGATTGTGTTTATATAAAGTGAATGTTGGCTACTCAGAATGTGTACTGTTAGCAAAAGACAGTGAACTGCTCTCTCTGGACCAGAGTCCAGTCCCACTGTACTCAGACTGATTAGCAAAGCTGAAATAGGAGCTAGATGATGAAATCTCAGTATTACTACGTATGTTATGGTGTCTAGAAAGGGGTCGGCAAAGAAAATCTTTTGTGGATTGTAAATTCTCAAGACCATTGTGTTGGAATGAAGATATCAAAACGATATCTGTTACAGTTTCTTGTCTAGATATATCAGTGTCATATAATTCTATTGATGAGCTGAGTGAGGATTGTGGTAAATCACTTAAGAAATTGTCTCGGGGGGAAGGAGGACCAGAAGATGGCGCTTCTGATTTGTTTAATGTTTCACTATCACTCTTTGTGGGCTTTCTTACTTTGGGGTTTCTAGATGGAAATTCTTCAGAATGACATCTATTGATATTTATCACTTGAGAAGATGTACGATATTGACCAATTTCCTTCTGAAATTCTGTGTCATCTTTTGAATTTAAGGAAAAGACAGGTTCCATCATCTCTGTTTTGCATTCATGGCAGTAGCCTTTTTGGGGCTTGGTTGCATCCTCTAGCTGTTCTTGAAGTTCATTTATTTTTTGGAATAGTTCACTTTTCTCTTCAGTAAGCTTTTTAATTGTTTCATCCAGTCTTTGATTCTCTACATCTTTCTGATCAATTTGATTTTTAAATTTGGCTTGCTCTTTTTTATAATATTCTGAATTTTCATCAATTCGTCTGTCTTGGTCATCGACTTTCATAGAAAGGACTGCCTTTTCGGTCAGCAATTCTTTTATCCTAGATTTTTGGGCATCATATCCTTCCAATAGTTTTCTGAAAAGTTCTACAAAACAGATACCCTCTTCTTTTGTAAAGCCTAAGACCTGTTCAGTCTCGCTGTATAGATCTTCTAGTCGTCTCAAACACATATCAGTGTCTTTGACTTTATTGTCAGTCATGTTTGATCTTCCTATTATAAACTGATTCAGCTTCTGACTTGAAGGTATATTTTGATTTGGTTTCTTGTTTGGTCGCTTTCTGACTGTGGAACTATTTATACTGGACTTGAGTAAAGTAGGCTGTCTCTCTAACTTGTCATATGATGCAGAAATATGATTAACCTTCTCGTTGTCCTCCAGTCTCTGTTTGACAGACTGTTCCTTTTCTGTCGTTTTTCCAGCTCTTGCTTCTCTTCGTGGAGAGGTGAAAGTAAAAGTTCTCTGCTTGCCAGCCATTTTAAAGTCATTCATTTCTGAAACCAGAGACAAACGATTCAATCTATAACAGTCGTCTTAATTTGTAGACAGTATTGAATTTTTTGATATATGTGGTGTCACAGGGGGAAAAAGTGTTCAGGAATGCAGCATCTTTTTGGACAAATATCATTTAATGTAGTAATTAAAATTTCATGATCTTACTGAAAATTATGGATACTGAATGCAGTAGCTTTGATAGGTTCAAAATATTTCAGTTTCTTATGTGCTTTGAATAAAAATGAATAATTGAATGTTATCTCCTCAAAATAAATACTTGTCAATGAAATAAACATGTGTAAGTTTAAATAAACAGATGTAAAAAAGAAATATTTTATGAATAGGTGAATGAATTAGGTAAAGTAATTGAAATGACAAATAAATGCAGAAACAAGCTAGATGTTTATGATGAAATCATGGAATCAACTAATGCAGCTAGTAGTCATTTTTCCTTACTGAATAAATTTTAAATCCATATTAATAGTCAGTTTTAAATGTTAGAAATTTCAAATAAAAAGCAGATTCATTATAGAAAGCTGTCCTCAACTTTATGTTTATTTATATATACTGATACTCCTACAAAGACCTGAATTAAGATCTCATTAGTTTTTTGTGTCTGTGAGCAAACTTCTCTTTAACTCTTAACTCTGTTTCATGCAGTTCTATTTTCAAGAGAAATATTTATCTCACCTGCCTAACTATAGGTCACAATGATGAGTGTCCCAGAAGAAACATAGGCCTTATGCAATGTTCAACAGTTTCCAAATTTAAGCTTGTAATAAACACAATATACAGGTAAACTTCGGTATCTCGACATCGGATATGTCGACAACCTGGGATATGTCAACATCCTTCCGCGGTCCCGGCAGTATTTACTATATAAATGATTTGCAAAACTCTGATATGTCAACCTCGGTATTGTCGACAACACGGGTTATCTCGACTTATATTCACAGTCCCAAGAGCAAAATTTACCTGACATATGTCGACATCGGCAATTTTCTGCTCTACTGAACCTAACTGTTTGTCAGATAGGTCGCTCGTCACGCACGGACAACTCCAGGTATCTCGACGTCGTCAAAGTTTCACACCTTTCACACCCATGTTTGACTGCACGCTGCTTAATTAATTTTATAGACTGTGTTTGTAGGTGAATCCCAAGCCCCTTTGGCGTCTTTGAGAAGTTAATTGAGCTTGGGTAATATCATTGCTAAATCTACACAATTCTGCGTAAATGTACAGAATGTTATTTATATCGAAACATAACATAACTTTTGAATTTGAAAATGATAACTAAATTACAATGAATAACAAACACACTGAAAAATTCAAACTAAGGAATTAAAAAATGTTTTAATGATATTTTGTAGTTAAAATGTATTCAACAGGAAACAATCCGTCGTAATTCGTGCATCTGTAACATCACTACGTTAGTTTAGATACACAAATCTCTTTAAAGAAAATTAATTTTAATGTACATTCTTCCTGAATGAAATAAGAAAAAAAATTCCGCATTTAATTATTTTTTACCGTATATTGGATGTCGACTTTATACGGTTCGAAGTTTATAGAGCGCATTTCGTATCCTGTTCTGACGAAAAGGCAAGTTACACACGAATGCAGCTCAATGCTGTAACTTTGTGCTGAAACTTTGAGAATTTAGAAAGATTTCGATAAAGAACAGGTTTTATAAACAAGATTTTTAAAATAACTTCTTAGATTTTTAATAAAAATAGACGGAATTCTGAAGTATGATGAGCTACAGTCTATATTAAAGTCATGTTAATATAATAAGCTTGTCTGTTTTGCTATGCAATGAGATCTTGGACGTCAAGTCTCAACTCTGATATCTCGACACCTCGGATATCTCGACATTTTCCGATGGTCCCGTCGATGTCGAGATAACGAAGTTTACCTGTAGATCAATGTTTGATAATTTTTAAATATATAAATGACTGTCTGTAACCTTCAGTTGATGTAATGATTAAATAACGTAAGTGATAGAAATAAAATAATCATGAATAATGTAAGTAAGATCCTGACATATAGGAAACATGACATCTTATTTACTGGGTAATTATTTAGTCAGATTAACATGAATTTGATGGTTAGTTGTGCATTATTTACGGTATTTATACTTACTTAAGGAATACAGAGATTTCCAGTTTCACATATATGTGGTGTACATGATATGTTGAGGGTTTTGGCAATACACTACTTCTTATCTTAATCCTACAGGAGTATTCTGAATCATTTTAAGGCTATTCAAATATAAACAACTCCTGGATTCCTTGAAAAAGCTTCTTGTTTGTTTATGTATAACAGCTTTATTGTGCATATGTTTAAAAGAATGAGTGTTTAAAGTAACAAAATGAAGAACTTTAATTATCCAGATGCTTTGTTTAAAATCAGGTATGTAGGGCACACAATGATGTTTAATCTAGAGAACAGTCTGAGTGCACAGATACTTATAATTAAAGTCTGCAGGGACTACTATATGGGTATTGTTTATAAGGTGCATGAATATTCAAATTTTTAGGTCACCTCTGAGTCAATCAGGTAACCTATTGCTATCTGTTTTCATTCGTCATCATGCATCGTTTGTCAGTCATAGACTTTTGAATATTTTTGAATATTTTCAGGTTTTGGTGCTAGTGTGGGGCTGTGTAGTTCATATAGTGAAAATGCATAAATTCTTCAAAAATTTTCTCTCCTCCTATATATTTAGCAGACAAAATAAGTGCATTAAGATAAGACAAGAGTGCCTCTTCCAAATTTGTGAAATTCATGGCCCCAGGGCCAGGAGTTCTGGTGTTAGGGCAGCTAGGGCTCTTTTAATCATGTAGTGAAAATGCATTTATATTTAAGTTTTTGAAAGTCCTCTCTCCCACTGTAGACAAAGTGCATGGTTATGAAAAACAAGGGTACCTTTTCCACAGATTGTAAAATTAATGGCCCCAGGGTCAGGGATTCTGTGTTAAGGCAGGACTCAGATGATCATTAGTGAAAATGCTTTCATTCTGTGAAAATTCTCTTCTCTGTACCTGGGTATTAAGTAGACAAACTGTGTGCATGGTTATAGTCAGCAAGGATGCCTATACCTAAACTGTGAAAATCTTTTTCTCTGTAGAGTAATTTATTGTTGAATAATCTAAGTCAAGGGACAAGCCCACACCACTGTTAGAATACATCCAATATAGTTGCAATTTAATAAATCAGAGCAGATTCTATTGGAAACAATTTTGAAGAATGCAAAAGGAGTTGCACTGTAAATAACTACCAAATTAATCACAGCAAACCTTTTTAAGCTTGTATATGCCTTTTACCATTAAAAATAATCCATGTTAAGATCTAAGAAACTTAGAGCATGGTTATGATGAGAAATAGTGCTATTTCAAAATTGTGAAATTCTTGGCCCCTGAGACAGGGTTCCAGAGTTGGGGTGGGGCTCTATTATGATCATGCATGTATGAAAATATTTACTATGCTTTAAGAGAAGTTATTCCCCTTTGTTATTCATTTATGATAAATAATCAATATAAACAATGTAATTAATAGGTATGTTGAATGAAAGAACTATACAACAATTTTTGATATATTATAATAAGTAGAAAAATTACTTTCAGAGATTTTAACAGTCAGGTAGATAATTATGTAAATAACAGATGAATAAAAATAAAACAAAAATACCATATATGTACATTAAATATTCAAAGACCAAGGGAGGTCATCATGGTATAGTTAGTCACTGAACTTTGTAGTTTATGCTAATGCACTATTTTAATATTTATATAATAGTGTTGTACTTTGCATGCACTATGCCTAAAGAGTAGTCAGGGTTTGACACATGGTGCACGAGCCGGAGGCTAGTGCACTATGTGTCAAACCCTGACTACTCTTTAGGCATAGTGCATGCAAAGTACAACACTATTGTTATTATTATAGTGGCTGTTCTATAAAAACGACAATATTATCTTCATTTCCAATGTTTCATCACCTCTTACATTCATGTTAGTACACCCTTATTATGACGTCACGTTGTGCTACATGTACATCATAATCTTTTTTTCTTTAATTTTGAATGTTCCATTTATAGGTAGTTTCAGAGAATTTTAGTTGAGTGAAGGAAAAAAAATTGCCAGAAACTATTGTAGAAAAATTATTTTGTTTATTTTTTTCTTTAAGTTTAAAATATTTGAAACTAAATTTATATTTATTATAATACAGTGCTTTAGTTATAATGGCATCTGTGGCGTAATTGGTAGCGCGTCGTACTGACAATCTCGGGATCATGAGTTCGATCCCCTTGTGGGCGCTGTCAGATTTTCTTCAGAAAAAGAAGCCATGCACTATTTCGGCATAGTATGCTTACGCTATATAAATCCTTTGAACACTATGGGATAATAGTTGGGTATTGATTATATAGAGACAAACTGACAGGAAGCATAATAATTGGTGATAGTGCTGGAGTGTAGATAGTACTGACATATACAGGCACATTTCTGAGTTGTTACTGATTCACACTACTAACAATTTTGTTGAGCCTTGATCATTCTTTTTCTCTCTTTGTGTGTTATTATATAATTATTTACCATTCTATGGATCACTTACATTGGGCTGTATTATATTCAGGTGACCATTAAGGCCCTTGGACCTTTTGTTAAAGGAATTTTAAAAGATAAACAGATATTTGAATCAGGTACCAAAATACTTGCTGATGAAATGCTAATCAGTTGATACTCTTTAAATTCAAATTCATTTGAAAGAAATACTAGTCTTTGAATAGACAAGCAAATGGGTATATAGTTCACATTAATTTATCAACAAACATATGAATTGATTCTTGACACGTTTAGAAATTTGTTTCCTTTAAAGACTCAATATTTTTTTTTCCGAAAGTGCAGATCTCTGGTGTACAAGGTCATATTATAAGCATTTTCTAGATAAGCGGTTATGCTTCAAGACGGGCACTGCATCAGGTTGTGGGATTGGAGGAG